TGCTGGAAAATGTCAGGTACATCTCAGTAGCTCAGAGCAGCTTTTTCCTTGCGTAGACAAGACAATCAATGCTACCTGTGTGGTACCATTTTATGTCAGGCCTATTTGAGTAAGAGGAACTGCATTAAGATTTTATGCTTCACTTTTTTCATTCTTCTTGCTAGTATGCATTTGTAGAAAAGGCTGTAAAGATTATGCATATTTAGTTATACTCTGCTTACTGGTATTAAACTGGCTCTAGATTTGGCCTTGGTACAGACACTGTTGTTCATCAATTATTCACCCTTGCTAATGAGAAGAAATTCTTAGTAATTGCTTTGAGATGTACTATCCACATGCATGTACATTTACATGTCTCTTAAATACTTACAAGTCTCTACATTTAGATAAGGTGAGCTTTGCTCTGATTCATTCTATTACATATGCAGTTATGGAAAGGATCTCATTAGCATAGAACAACCAAGAACCATCAAGTCATTCAGCTAACTAAAATATCACTGACTGTATCATCTCACATTCTCATAGTATTAAATTAAAAAAGAAAGATGAAATGGTATTCCTAACAACTAAAAGACTAATGCTGATGATGAATAGATTTGATCTTTTACTTCATCAAAAAAAACACTTTTCCTAGGACAGGCATGCAACATCTGCAGGTATCCACAGGGATGATCAGTGGTCATTTTTCAGGAACTTAATTGGAAAAAGGAAGAATTACATCTTTGCTTCAATGTTGTACCTCTTCTCAGTTGTAACTGGAAAATTAGAACGAGATGGTGTCTGCAAATAGAACTGTATAGAAGAACAGCACTCTTCCATTAGTTAAACTGCCTGCTTGAGGAACAGTGAAAGATATTGATTAGAGAGTAGAAACACTAATTTGATTCTACAGGAAGAATGAGAAGAACTGGGCAACACACAATTTGTTGTGTCAAAAGAGCTGTATTTCCTGCCACTGTGACTTGAACAACCAAAGTAACTAGAATTTTTCAGTTGTCCTCAAGAGTATACAAGGTATCAGATTGCCTTGCATGCATTTTCTTTAAGACACTAAACTACATCTGCTATAAGCAAACCAGGAAGTCAGTATTAATCTTGGCTGTAGTTACATTCTGAAACCAAGATCACCAATCTTGTCTAGAACCAAAACCTTATAAGTATGTTTTCCATAATTTTGAATTTTTTTCAAAGATAAAAGGGAAAATATCCTTGGCTTTCAAAAAATGCAAAATGCAGATACATAGAGCTCTTACTAAAAATACAAAAATCATCATATTGAGGCCTTTTATATATTCAGCCTTCAAGTAAGAGAAATGCTAGTCAATTCAAAATTGAAAAGGTCAGTTGTTAGTGTCAAATTGAACTGCCACAAAGCAAGCCTTCATATATCAAGCAGATAATCAAGGCAAATATGCCAAGTAACTGACAACTGTAAACTTTTGTCTCATTAAAACACTGTCAAATTAACCACCAGGTCAATGTCATTGTTATAAAGTTTACAGCTGATTCACATGAGGAACTTTGATTTTTCTGGTCTTAAAAACAGAAATCTAGCAACCATTTGTGGAATCTAAAAAAGAAAAAAAGCCTTTCAGTAGAAGGAACATATTCAAATGGAAGTTTAACTCAAAAGAAAAGAGAACCATTAAAAGCTTCCATGTCTAAATAAACTATAGCAAATTAAATAGCAAAATGTAACCTATTTTCAGGAACTTCAGGGTAACACTCTCAGTAAAGCCAAATTAATCTATTTAGTTTAAGTATCACAATTGTAACACTTAAATTTTCAGCTCTAACAATCTTCTTTATCAGAGGATAATAAAAAAGCAAATGGAGGTATAGCATAATCATGAGAAAGCATAATTAGTAGAAAAGTACTTTTGTAGTATATGAAGAGTAGTCCTAGAAAACCAGTTGTTACTGCACAGTTAACAACTCAGCTGAAGTCTTCTGCACTTACTTGATTATCTCATCAGTGGTGTCTCACTAATGGAGCTAAGCATTACTGTAAACAGTGAGTAAGAAAGTGTTCATGTTTATAAGAAAGACCTAAGTGGTTAGAGATAATCAGCTATGGTATATCAAATGCCTCAACTACCATTAATATCAGTACCTACTTATTTCTTAAAGGGGCTGCTTACCAACAATCATTAAAAAAATGATAATTTTTGAAACCTATTACCAAATGTTGATCCAAAAGACCTGTTACCTAGTCACCTTCATTTTAATCTGCAAGGCATATTTCTAGATTTAGAGAAGCCTCTATAGTTATTTAATTTTTTAAATGGGGGAAATGGGCAAAACAGCCATTTAGAGGTACCCATCATGGGTAAAGGGAGAAATATATAGGATTAATTTAATTTACTTGCTGCTTCAAATAAAATAAGGGGCTGGTTTTAAGGTACTTTTGACATGCTTTTAGAATGGTATAGGAAAGGCAGTTATGGGGTTTTTTTATCCCTCAATTTTTTTCCTACTGAATCTACACACATTTAAATACATTATACTCTTGAAAATTCAGGAACACATTTAGAAGCCTAACAATCAAAACAAAATGCTGTTAATTTCAGGACTCTGAATACCTATAAGCTAGAAAATAATAGAGGAGAATTGTTCTTCATGCTTTTAAAATGCAGGCATCTCCTCAGTGCTGTGATGGACCTGAAAGTTCTCAAACCCTTATATGCTCTACAGAGTATACAGGCTCTTAAATTCTCCTAAGTTAGACTGAAAACTGGAAAATACAGCTTCTGTGATCTAAAGCATTTATCTCAACCAAATCAAAATATTGTAAAAAACTTCATTGGTATTCATATTCATGCCAAACAAAGAAGAAAACTTTTCAACCAATATAAAGAGACACTGAACTACCATTTCTTCATATTAAAACTGATCTCTACATTTTTACTTTTTTTTTAATTCTTTGACTATAAATAAAAAGCTCTTATTATATAACATTTTTATATTTTATCTCACTGATTATACTAAAATACTAGAAATAAGCATAACAGAAAATAACCAGACTTTTCATATTTTCTTCAGATTGATAAGAACACATATTTTTACTTAGATTATCATCCAATATCAGAGCAAACCAAACAAGCAAAACAAGTAAATCAAGGAGGCCTAAAAACATGCAAACAAAACAAGCCCCAGATACAGCAAACCAAATGTTATATGGTCCTGAAAGTCTGACATGCCCTAGCTTGAACGCCTAGCTCAAATTCATACTGCCTATTATGTCAACAATGCTAAAATATGGAGGAAAAAAAAATATTCATACTGAATAGGAACTTGTTAACCGAGTATCATTCACCTTGAAATATAAATGAAAAAGAGATGCCAAACAAGAATAGAAATTTATGTGATCACATATTTAAATTTAATATTGAAGAACTACAATGATCATTGCAAAAATACCTAAGGCAAATATCTGCTACTACAAGAAATATATGTCTAATCTGGAAAACTTGACTCAAAAGCCTTGAAAATCAGGAAATCGGTTGCCATACAGTCTACACATTTCTTCTGCAGTCCCTTTCCAGTCCCACTACAACTGGAGCTCAAAGCTTTTTCTCCCTCTCCTTCCTAATCTTAACTGTGTGCTGTTCAACAAGGCCCAGTGCAACATCCTGCATTCTGGTTGGGGCAATCGACAGAATCAGTGCAGGCTGACTGATTAATACATTGAGAGCAGCACTTTAGGGTCCGTCTTGGGGATATTCCTAGATGAACAATTAAATGTAAGCGATCAACGTGTGCTTGCAGTCCAGAGAGCCAACCATATCCAAAGAAGATGTAGATGCCCCACCCCTGGAAGTGTTCAAGGTCAAGTTAATCAAGGATTTGATCAGCCTGTTCTAGTGAAAGATGCCCCGCTCATGGCAGGGGTGATTGGAACTAGATGATCTTTAAAGGTTCCTTACAGGGACCTTTATAACCATTCTATGATTATAAAAGAGAAGGAGTAAGAGCGACAGATCCATTTTACAGAAGAGAATCCCATTGGTATGGGCACAATTCAGCCATAAATTATGTTCTACCTTCAAATATTTCTTTAAGGTTAGCTTTTCTGTGAGACAGACAAAACAAACAGCAGCCTGAACTGTCAGACATGGACTATTTAATACAAAAGGTCTCAGTGAAATAACACAATCATTTCTTTCAAACTTGAAATTCATCTTTTACCATTTTTGTAATGTTCGCAAAGAATGACAATTATGAACAGCATGCAGTTCAAGTGAATTACATGAAAATCAGTATTTGTTAAATATTTACACCAAAGATTTACAGTGATCATTCAAAGTCACTGTAATATTTTGTGTCTTTCTGTGGTAAACTGAAGCAAACTGAACTGAAAATAAGGTGAAAGATTTCTTTCCTCAGACTCTCTGAGTGTGATTTTATGAAATCATAAAGTCAGCATGAGGGACATATTTCCTGCT